TGTGCATCAGAGACGTGATAGACGACATCGCGCTGCAGATTGTTGGTCCGCAGCAGCTCATTGCACCGCAGCTCGCCTCAGGTGTGCAGTCCCTGTTGTCCAGTTTCTCGGAGCTCGAGCTCCCCGTCTCGGAAAAGTCGAAGTACATGACAAGCGACTCGGCTTTGAATGAGACCTTGCAGCCCCTGTGGGACCTCCCGAAGGAAAGCAAGGTGGATCATGCAAGGAACCTCGGCACCGACGCGGTGATGGGGCCCCTACGGAGGGTTCAGATCACTCGGGACAGGTGGGACAAGGCCAGAGGGAGGACGGCTAAGATTAAGAAGCTCAGGGAGGCGGGGGCCAACACGGGGTTCATTGGAGGCCATACAGCGTCTGCTCTATGGGGGTCCAGCATCATGGGGATTCCCTCGACCCAACTGCATCGTCTTCGATTGGGAGCTGCTGGAAGTCTCGGGAAGGTCCCCAAGGGCTCCACGGTCGGGCTCCGTCTCCAGAGCTATGCTGAAGGGGTCCGAGTGGACCCGCTGCTGTTGAATGTCGGGATGGTTGTGTTCCAATGGGCGACAGCGGTCTGGGAGTCGTTTCCGAAGCTTCCCGTCCTGGAACGGTGTCTGGAAGGAGCCCTGGGCCGTCTCGAAGGAGTTCAAACACCTTGGAGGTTAGCAGCAGCCCCAGCTGAAGTAGCCGTTCTCAGTCTTCGCAGAATAGGCTGGAGTTTGCGGTCAGGTGCGTGCATGGTCACGGACCGGCAGGAAGCACTAGACCTTCGAGTTTTACCTCCAGCGCTCGTTCAGGAGCTAGCAGTTGCAGGCGCCAGGCGAGCTTCTGATCGGCAAGCTCTTTTTTTGTCGTGAGCCCAAAGCCAGGTGGAATATGCCGATATTTTGGGCAGGACTTGAGGGGCTCCTGCATCGGACCAAGGGATCCTGGACGAAGAGGTTTCAGAGGACGTTGAGATCCTTGGTTTCTGGAGGACACTGGCCACAAAGTCGGCTCCACCACCATGGACTTGTCGGCTCAGCGAGGTGTTGTGTATGTGGTGATCCTGAAGGGTCCTTGTGGCACAGGGCCTACGAGTGCCCGAAGTATGCAGGGCTCAGGCGTGAATGGGTTGACGACTTCCACAGGACGAGGGCTCGCAGGGTCCGCGAATGGGGGTACGACGAGGGGGAGAGGTTTGCGAGAGGCCTGTTCCCGTCGCCAGAGTTGGTCTTCCCCGTCCCGACCGAGGCCCAAGAGACCATCTTGTGGCACAACAGACCTGAGTCAGGGTTCCTGAGTGGCACGCTGTTCTTAGACGGTTCGGCCTTATGGGCCTCGGCTCCGTTTTTGGCCCGAGCGGGCTGGGCCATCGTGCAGGTAGATAGGTTTGGAAATTTAGTTTCGGCGGCCTACGGGCCCGTCCCATGCAGTGTGTGCCCTAAGCAGAGCTCTAGAGACGCGGAGGATTACGCCGTCTCGATGCTGCGTGTATGTGCTATGGCGCCCTTCGATGTCTTTATAGACTGTGCAGGCACTGTTGGGACTCTCCGTGGCGGCGAAGGCGCGGGATCCCAAAGCAGTTGTGGTCGGGCCCAGCTCTGGAGTCCGTTCTGGGGAGCGTTCTCGGAAAGGGACTTCCAAGTTTTTAAAAACCAAGGCCCATTGCACCAGGGCCCAGGTAGATGCGGGTGCTACCACTGAGTGGGAGTTCAGAGGGAACGCCCACGCCGACAGGTTTGCGAAGCTAGGTGCTGCGGAGCACGGCGTGGGTGAGGAGCAGTTTCAGTTGTGGCAAGGCTTTAAGTTTTTAGCCCAAGAATCCGCCCGATGGGCGGCTTGTGTGCACGTTGAGTCCGATGGCCAGGACCATGATGACTTGATGGAAGCGTACTGGAGGTCTCGGGGCTCAGCTGCCGTGGAAGACCCTGAGACCCCAGAGGACCCCGAGCCTGTGCCCCAGGCTTGCAGCAGTGGGGGGGAAGTGGGGTCGTCGTCGCTCGGTGGCTACGGGGTGGGCGACGGGTGGGAAGAGTATGCCGACGCCAGTTTTTGGTGGCGAGGCCACAACCTGCTGGAGGCAGACGTGCTCAGCCGCACCGCCCACGTCTCCTCGGTCGTCTTCTGCTGCCGCTGTGGCACCGTATCCTCGGACGGCAAGCTTACTACGGGTCTCTCGGGGTGGTGCCCCGAGAAGGCCAAAGCTGGTGGTGTGGACCAGCTGCGGAGGATCAAGAAAGGAGAATTCCCCTCTTACCGCGCCAATGTGCGCTCTTTGAAGGTCGGGAGGCCGCATGGAGTGCTGCCAGCGACCCGCTCGAGCCTAGCCGAGGCCGAGCCGAGCCTGCCCCCAGAGCCGCAGCCCTCGGCCCCAAGCGTCGGGGCTAGTGGCGGATGGGGGCGGGCTGATCTTGGGGGGCGGGCCGAGGTTCTGAGGGCGTTCGGGCTGTGGGAGGGGGAGCTCGAACTGGTCCGTGACCTCGGCCGATCGGCCCTGCAGCGGAGCGCGGACAGCCCTGATGAGGGCGACTCCGACGCCGAGCCATTCTGATTTGGGGCTTGACCCCGCGTTTAGCGCAAACCCATACCATACCATACCTCCTCCTCCTCCTCCTCACCTCCTCCTCCTCCTCCTCATCCCGCCGCCCCTCCTGGCTACAACGAAGGAGCGGACAGGGGCAGGCCAAGCCTCAAAGTGTGGGGCGAGGCTGAATCGCCTCGTCCACTCCGCCACGCACCATCCGCCAGCTTGCCGCACCGGGGGGCGGAAGGGGGAGGAAGGGGTCTGACGCTGCGAGCTCCGTCGCCGCGGCTTGCCCAAGGAAAGATCACAAGGAAAAGGAGGCTGCGGGCCACCTGGCACCGACCACTGGGCCCGCCGCCGCCGACCCTGTCGGGCAAACGGGCCGGCGGCAACCGGCGCCATGTCAATCCCCGCGGAGTCTACAATTGGCGAACCGATCGATCAAGCACTACGCCCCCAGCAAACAGACGGTGACGACGGAACAACTGCACCTCCGCCTCCACCTCCCGCTGCTCCCCCAGGCCTTTCTCCTCCTCCTTCTCCCCCTCTTTCTCCCACCGCTCCTCATCTTCCTGCCCCTCTTCCTCCCAGCGGCGCCGAAGTCCCTCTGCAGCTGGCGCACTATGATCGGGAGCTGGCAGACACCCCCGCCGCCCCTCGAACAAAGCGGCTTGCCTGGGGTCTGGCCGGGCGTCTGAAACAGCGGCCACTCCCAGGGGAAGGGGTCTGTCTGCCAGGGTCTCTCCTCCTCCTCCTCCCCCTCCTCCTCCTCCTCCTCCTCCTCCTCCTCCTCCTCCTCCTCCTCCTCCTCCTCCCTCTCCTCCTCCTTCTCCTCCTCCTCCTCCCCCTCCTCCTCCTCCTCCTCTTCCTCCTCCTCCTCCTCCCCCTCCTCCCCCTCCTCCCCCTCCTCCTCCCACTGCTCCTCCTCGCTGCCCTTCTGGTGAAAGTCCCGGAGGCGCGCGGCGCCTCGGCCGCCGCCCTGGGCCACGCGGCCTCAGACAGGCTCCGCTGATGAGCCCTCTCGCCAAGAGGGGGCAGGCAGCCGCAAATGTGCAAACATCCCACCGCCAGACGCCGGTCGGAAGAAGTGGGTAGAGACATGAAGGAGGAAGACGTTAAAGTCGATTGGACTTCCGCCCGCCCCCTGAAGAGGAGGAACAAAGGAGGACCGCTCGACTCTTGAAGTAGGAAGGCGCCTAGGGCCTAGAATAGATTCGGATTTGGGCATCCAAAAATACCTACTTGCAACGACCGTCTGATATTCCTCATTCTCCTACTCTCGCAGCGAGAAACTCGCCCCGACCACGCTGCGATGGCACCGGGAGGGTCTTGGGAGGTGCCATATGCTGCGCACGTATTCAAGGGCAGGAGGACTCGGCAAAGCGGTGCCGAGGTCCTTCGCACTATCGTGGAGACACCGCGGCGGTGACGAGTGGTGGTGTCCCTCACTGCTCTGGCAGCCCGAGCGACAACACATGCACGAGCACCGCGGGTACCACTGTAACTGCAGACGCGGCCAGTGTCAACACGAAGGGGACCCAGGCACCAACGTCCGCGGCTGGCTGCTAGCTAATGAGTGTCTGGCTCTTCTGCAGTCGACGGCGATGACGACGCAAGCAGTTCCTGCGCCCCCCCGCCCCTAAGACTCTGCACGAACGGGTGGAGAGTCACCTCCACGACACTGGGTCAGATCTGGAGGCCAAGCCCCCAACATTCCTCCAGAGGCCCCCGAGAGCCTTCCGAAGAGACCCCAAGAAGCATCCATGAGAACTCTGGTCCACGACAGCATCGTCGTCGTCGCCGCCGCCGCCGCCGTCGTCGTCGTCGTCGTCGTCGTCGTCGTCTCCCTACAAGGACGGCAGCACTGGCCGTAGGGCCTTCGCATTCTAGAGGCCGCAGCAGCAAACTCGCCCATCGCCCCGCCGCGGAGCGAGCGAGGGCGCGGACGCGAGGCGTGAGGATGCCACACCCCACCTCCAGAGCCTCGGCGGGAGGTCCGCGCGGATCTCTTGGATCGGCACTGAACCCCCCAAGTCGATCAGGAGCAGCTCCGTCCAATCGCATGGGCCCCCAGTATCACTACAGAGGAACAAGGAAAGGCATAAACAAAAAGCGGACCGCGCGGATTTCTTGGATCCGGTGTGGACCCCCGTCCGTGGCGCACGGAGCGCGCCAGCAGCGGCAGCGGCACCGAAGGCGCCGCCAAGGGGGCCCGGGCCCAGCGCCGATCCGAGAAATCCGCGCGGAACTCCAATGGTTTATGTGCATGCGGTTTTTCCTCTTCCGAAAGCAGCGACGATTGATCGTCCTGGGGGGTGGTAATGTGGGGTGACCCAAATAGGGGCGAAGAGAAGGGCCCTGAAGAGGCCTTGCAGGGACCCTTTCGGAACCAGCATGGGCCCACAAGGGCCCCCAAAGGGCCCCCTCAGGGCCTGTCAGGTCGCCCACCAGCACCTCCCGCCCGAGACCCTCCAGAATAGAAGGCAGGAGGCGCCTGCTTGTCGGTGTACACGGCCTCGCCCAGGGGCAGCCCGCAGGCGCCGCAGAGCTTCTCCGAGCCGTCGCTGTCGGACTCCTCCCGCCCGGCAGCGGCCCCGCACGCCCCAGGGGAGAGGAGCTTCACCGCCATCGTCTTCGCCCCAGAAGTACGAGGACCGAAGCAGAGCTACAACAACATCAAAATAGATACGGCCGGACCTGAGAACATGGAGCCCTCCGCCGGCCAAATTGAAGAACATGCGAGGGCACCATCCCACAGGATGCACAGAAACATCCAACACACACACACGAAGAAGAACTGCAGGGTACCTCCCCGAGCCGACCTCGATCTTCTGCCTCGGTCCGACCGTACAACACCATCAAGATAGATAGGCACACCCTAGTCCTCACGCACCCCCTTGTCACCCGAACCTCCCATCGGCCTGCGGGCCAAGCCTCTGAACCAGACCGATGGGGAAACAAGCTCTGCTGGCCGCAAGCGGCCGCCTCCGCGCTGCCTGGCCACGGCGCAGTGCAGAGAGGAGGGGGAATGGAGGGGGAAAGAAGGTCCACGTTTCGGGCCCTGGAGGCTCCATTCTGGGCTGAAAAAGCCCCGAGGGGCCCTGAAGGGCGCCTTTTCTGCAGCCCTCGCTGCCCCCCACCCCCTCGCTGCCCACCCCCATCATTTATCGCCCCTCCATTACGCGACGCCCAAGTTGGACATGACTCGCTCTCGCCAGGCCCTCCAGAAGCCTCACGGCGACCTCGCAAGACCTCCGGTGACCTCCCCTGCCGCGGAGAGACTCGCTCGCCGCCCGCGGCTGGCGCCCCGCGCCCCCTTCCATAACCTGCCTTATTCCTCGTCCTCCTCCTTCTCCACCTTCTCCCATGCTTCCTGTTATGATTACTATGATAATGGTTATTTTGATTACTCCTCTTCATCTTCTTCGTACATTCGTCTTAGTGCTCCATTATTAATATGACTAGCATTATGATTGATATAAATATTACTGTTCGTAGACTGACAATATTCTCATAAATGAGGGTATCCTTCTCATTATGATTCGCATCAACATTGTTATTAGTATTCCTCTTCGTCCTCATCGTCCCCCTCGTCCTCCTCGTCCTCCTCGCTCATGGCTCCTCGCTCCTCTTCGCTCCTCGCTCCTCCCTCTCTTTCTCCTCCTCCTCCTCCTCCTCGTCCTCCTCATCCTCATCCTCATCCTCATAACCATCATCATCAGCATCATCATCAGCATCATCATCAGCATCATCATCAGCAGTACCTCTTTCTCTTCCTCCTCCTCCTCTATTTCCTCCTCATCCTTATCCTCCTCCTCCTTCTCCTCCTTCTCCTCCTCCTTCTCCTCCTCCTCCTCCTCCTTCTCCTCCTCCTCCTCCTCTTTCGCCTCCTCCTCTCGGGGAGTAAAGCGGTCTGATGCAGTTGGCTTGCACAGCCTCGGCAGGCTCTGCTGGGGCGAAGATCAGGCGCGGCTCCGTCCATCGCATGGGTGCCCAGTGCCGCTACAGCGGAACTAGGAATGGCATAAACAAAAGATGGCCCTGATTTGTGGGACCCGCTCAGTAATCCCCTATACCTGGCGCGCAGAGCGCGCCAAGGGCGGCGCCGCAGACGCCGCCAGGGGAGGCCCAGCGCCGATCCGAGAAATCCGCGCGGTATGTGTGCAGAGTTGTTTTTCTGAATCGACTCGACCGGCCATTCTTGAACCATCCGCATTCCACTCAACACCCCGCTGCTCTCTTTCCGCTGCCAGTCGTCGCACCGCCCCCGCTCTCATGGTATGGGAAGGCTGGCCTGCGGCTGCCGATGGGCTGATCGAAGGATTGGAGACAGCGCGTTTAACGGGCGCCTGGGTGGGTGCGAACCATCCTTCGACACGTCGAAGATGGCCGCCCTCCGCCCCCCCCCCAAAAAACGAGCATCCCAGGCACCCAGCGTGACCCCGTACCTTCACACAGCACCCCCCCTCCCCACCCTCCCACTCCTCGCGCAAGTGGGTGGGATGGGGGGGGACTCAGCCCCCCCCCCGCCCACCTCGCGCACGGGGGAGTGGGGTTCCCCCCCCCCCTGGAGCTGGTCGGTCGTCGGTCGTCGGCCTTCGGTCGACGGCCGCCGTCGACATCGTCGCTTGCTGGCGCTAGGGGGGTGGGGCACCCTCACGCATCGTCGACTCTTGCGCGGCGAAGACCAATCGAATAGCAGATCGACTGCAATGATCGAATAAACGAGAAGCATGTGGAATCTTCATAGATCTACGAACAGTGTACGCTGTTTTTCGCTTAAGCCGACAAACAGCAATGATGGGTACGTACATTAATTCTGCAGTCGATGTCCTACAGGAGGAGCTCGACCTCAAGAACATTTCCCCGAGAAAGCCAACCCTGAGACCCCAGGATGTCCATTGACTGTTGGTGCGGGAGCGTCACGCTTTCCAGAGCGAAACCATCGAAATCCAAGAGACCCAGGGCACCCTGGAGGCAAGCATCCCCGATGCCACTCGGCACCCCGATGACGACGCCAGCAAAGCCTAGGTCGCGTGAGAGGCGGCAGCCGACGCAGCGTCCCACGCGCGTGGCGCCAGCGACGCTGCATTCACCCGTGCTGCCGTGGCCGACGCGCGAAGGGAGGTGAGGATGCAGCTCTCCGATCGCGTCCAGCGGTGGCACGAGGTGCTTCTTGGTATGTGTTTCCATTGCACTCGAATCAAATGGCGTCGAAATCCAGAGCGAAACCGTCGACATCCAAGAGACCCAGGGCACCCTGGAGGAACAGCAGGGTGCTCCTTGGAGTGGGTTTCCATTGCACTCGAGTCGAATGGCGTGGCCCGCCGCCCCTCCGCTGTCGACGCCTCGGAACCACCACGCGTCGGCCCCGCCGTGGCCTGCCGCGCGCGGAGGCCCGCCCCTCCCGCCCCCCCCCCCCCTCTGGACGAGCATTTTTGTTTGCAGGGGGGAGGTGAGAGGAGGAGGAGGAGGAGGAGGAGGAGGAGGAGGAGGAGGAGGAGGAGGAGGAGGAGGAATGGAGGAGGAGGAGGAGGAGGAGGGGAGGAGGAGGAGGAGGAGGAGGAGGAGGAGTAGGCGAAGGAGGAGAGGAGGCGGAGGAGGAGGAGGAGCGAGGAGCTAAGAGGAGGAGAAGGAGGAGGAGGAGCGAGGAGCGAGGAGCGAGGAGCGAGGAGGAGGAGCGAGGAGCGAGGAGGAGCGAGAAGGACGAGGAGGAGGAACAAACATGTCCCCCGCCACCTCTCCCTCTGGACGGGCGGAGCGGGGGAGGGGGAGCGGTGGGCCTGGGAAGGGTGCGACGATGGGCGGGGCATCGAGGGGCGGCGGGGAAGGGAATGTGGGAAGGGGGGGCGGACGGGGCGGGAGGGAGGAGGAAAGGAAGGAGGCGCTCCGGAGTCGGAGGGGGCTCCCAAAAACCGCCCCCCCGAGCTGGTGGCACTGCGTTCTGGGCACTCTCTGGGGGCGCGCCAGGAACGGGGTACCATCAGCTCGGGGAGGGGGGGGCGGCCAGCCCCCCTGGCTGGTGGTGGTAGTTCTTCTTCTCTGGATAGGGAAAGAGGAAGGAAGGACGAATCGGGTCGCTGGACGGCTCGCAAGGCTGCGAGAAATTCCTCGCGGGGCTGGGGGGGGGATGATGGCGGCGATGGGGAGGGCGAGGCGGAGGGGAGAAGCAAGGGGGGCGGACTGGGAATAGATGCAGCGGCGGGGGAACGGGTGGGGGGAGGACGGCCAGAGGGAACGGGGGGGAGTGTAGCGGATGGGGCGGGGCCGTGGGGGAGCGGGAAGGGCAGCGGGAGGCGAAGGGGCGGAGGAGGGGAGGGGAGGGTCTGATCGAAACGGTCTGAGCACGCCGTCTGCAGCAACTCACGGGAGCTTCCTGTGCCATCTTGCTGGCTCTTGCGAATTGGCGCTAACCGACGCGAATCGACACTGCCATCGGCACTGAATCGAAGCTCGTCGACGCTACACCAGCGCTTTCTCATCGATTACCAGACGCTAGCGCACGCTACTGCACTGTACACAAAAGGCTCCAATGAGTTCTTACCGAACGAAACGGTGGATGGGGGGAGTGGGGGTCTGATCTGGAACGTCTGAACACACCTCATCAGGCCAGGAAGCATGCAGAAACCTCGCTTTGTTGTTTTATTAGCAGTGCCGGCGAACGCAGGCGCGAAAGTCGGTATACCGGCGGGGAGCGCCGGGCGCGGGGCGCGAGTCCAGATGGGAGAAGAAGAGGGCGGCCGCGGAGGAGGGACGATGCCCGTCCATCGGGAGTCGAGGGGAGGGAAGGGGAAGGGAAGGTCTGGTCTTGAACATCTGAGCGCATCTGATCAGGCCAGCGCTCACGCGGCAAGCTTATGCAGAACAGGAGGGAGCTGCATACCGCCCTTTGGAGGTATGCCCTCAGGCCAGCCCTACGAGGCAGGGGCAGCGGCAGGGAGGGAGCACGGGCACGATCGAGGGCACGGGCTCGGGCAAGCACGCACGAGCACTGACAGGGGGCACAGGGAGGGGGGAAAGGATGGGGCAGAGGGGTAATTAGGCGGGGAAGGAAGAGAGTAGGGCAGAAGAGGAGGACGAGGAGAGAGAGGTAGAGCTAGGCCGGGCATGTTCCCGTACAGGCGAGTTTGGGAAGAAGCACCAAATATACAAACAACATGTAGAACAAACAAGCAATAGTAGAAACATCGTCCCCCATATTAGTGTTTGACACGACTTTTGAACATTCCCCCTGCAGAGGAAGATGCCCGAAAGAAAGGTCGAGGAGCAAACGAGGACATCTGCACAAACTCTGGACGGCCCGTGCGGACTTCTTGGATCTGTGCTGGCCGCCCCTCCCCTGGCGCGTTCCGCGCGCCACGGGGCGGTGCCAGAGGCGCCGCCAGGGGGGCCTGAGCGCCGATCCACGAAATCCTCGCAGAGCGGCGACAACGTGTGTGTTTAATGCCGTTCCTCACTCGTCGGGGAAGGCGGATGGAAGCGTGGAAAGAGGGATGACTGGAGGGCGGCGGGGTGGACGTGGGGAAGGACGAACCAACGGGCGGGCACGGGCACGGGCACGGGCACGGACACAACTACAAACTCCAGACATGCTTTCGAGGGGGAGAGCACGGGGGGAAGACAGGACAGGACAGGAACCGCTTGGCGCGATCCATCGACTGCTACACGACTCAACAACGCAGCGGACGCCAGGCGGAGAAAAGTATCCACCTCAGGAGGCACGTAGTACGCGCGCTAACTCTCGTCAGCATGGGGTACAGTCGGACAACATTGGACAGGACACGCGAGAGGACACAAGACCTTCCGAGGGCCACGTTGCCACAGAAATGCAGAAGGCATGGGTCGCAAGACACAGGACACGAGGGTACCCTTGATCTGGCAGGGTCGACCTACTAATCCGGGCCGCCTGTAAGAAGAGAGGTGGGAGGCAGAAGAAGCAGAAAGAGATGATGAGGATGAGCAAGGCACGGGGCGGAAGGGTGGAATGCGGAGAGATGAATGGTTGGTGTGCGGATGCGATATGGACTGTGTGCAAGGGCGGACGATCGGGCGGAAAAGTGAAAAAGCTGAGGGGCGCCAGAGAACTGGTTGGCAACTCATCACTTGTCCTCCTCCAATTATGTTCTTCCCATCGTACTTACGGACCACATCCGTAAACAACATCTCGAGCACCATGAAACGTATCGAAACAATGTCTGCCCGACACGATGTCAAATATCGCCTCCCAAGGCCCGGCACGCGAAATCCGTCACCACCCTGGTGCTCGAAGTTATTCCTGGCGATCAAGGCTAAGGTCGGCTGAAACATCATAATCCTCCGAGAGCTCCGGGAGAGAGAAGGCGCTTGGACGCCAAAGAAAAATGGGCACGGGAAAAGTGGGCACGATGCCCAACAACAAACGTTGTCCAAATCCGACAGCGGCCGCCGTTTGGCAGGCGGCCCCCTGTCTCAGTTGGACCACGACCACGTCATCGCCAACAGCGAGATCTGTTCAACACGAACAAGAATTGCTGTTAGGATTCGTACCCATTGCAATGAGAACGTGGAATAAGGACGGGTGGTAAGAACGCAAGATCCTTGGAGGCCGAAGTTGGACTTTGGGGGGCCGGCGGGCGACCAAAACCCCAGGGTACCCTGAGAGGCTGCCCAGTGGACACGGCACAGGACGGGCCGCACAGGCAAGGACACAAGGGCACCCTGGAGAAGGCGCGCGTCCATACTTTGGGACTTGCGCCCGTTGCTTCCGCACCCGCTTCGATCGCCCCGGGGGCAGGGAGGCGGCCCTGAGCCCGCCTCGGCCTCCGGTTGCTTCACCAGCGCGACCTCGGCCGCGGGCCTCCCAGTGGCGCAAGTGGCCTGCCCCCCACACGCAGGCGCGGGCGGGGGGGGGTCCTCCTCCCCTCCTCCTCCTCCTCCTCTTCCTCCTCCTTCTCCTCCTCCTCCTCCTTCTCCTCCTCTTCCTCCTCCTCCTCATCCTCATCGTCAACATCATCAGCACCAGCACCAGCACCAGCACCAGCACCAGCACCAGCACCAGCACCATCATCATCATCATCATCATCATCATCATCATCAGCATCATCAGCATCATCATCATCACCATCGTCGTCAGTATCATCATCATCATCATCATCATCATCATCATCATCATCATCATCATCATCATCAACATCATCACCATCGTCGTCAGTATCACCATCATCATTATCATCAACATCATCACCATCATCATGATAGTCATCATCATGTTCCTTTTCCTCCTCCTCCTCCTCCTCTTCCTCCTCCTCCTCTTCTTTCTCTGCCTCCTCCTCCTCTTCGACGCTAGACCGACCTAAGCTGAAAACTGTAGCGTTCGGAAGCCGGAAAAATGTAAAACCAGACTCGACGCAATACCTGGCAGGCGCCGCAGGTAAGGTGGTGAAAGGTGCGACGCAGCAGGGCACTAAGAGTAGGCGCCCACCAGGTAGGACAGGGAGACAGCGATGGTACCCAAGTATGCAGCTAAATAAATATGAACGGTGGTAATATAAACTGAACCCTGAAAAATCAGTGGTACCTTCTGTGTCGGTAAATCAAGGGAAACATATGGGTATGGCTGGAACTTGTTTAGTGTCTGGCCATCGTATTGGCTGGCCACTTGCTGCAAAACGTATATCCGCCTAAGGTAGCGGCAAAGCAAACGATGCGAGGCATCTCCCCTCCCCAAACCCCAATCCAACCAACCCCCGATCCCGTAGATGGTCAGTCATCTTGTGTGAGGACGTCAATGCAAGAGAAAGAAATTGACCTGAGGTGACTGATGGTAAACAAAGTGGCGTATCTCGCCAACGCCTCCCTTCTCCTCCTCCTCCTCCTCCTCCTCCTCCTCCGCGCAACACGACGGCATGCACGTCATCGGCAAGAAGGCCATGGATACGGAAGCCCTCTGCGGCGTGCTTGACACGCCCGCGGTTGCCTGTGCCTTGGATCGTCTCATCACGTGACTTTCTCGAGCCTTAGAGGGCGCCAAGGCACGCCCAGAGGGCCCCAAGATGCCGACGAGATGGTCCAGGAGGGCCTGGAGACTCCTAAAGATCGCTCCAAGACGCCCAAGATGGCCCCAAGACGGTCTAAGAGGCCTCCAAGACGCCCCAAGATTGCCCCAAGAACAATCCCAAGAGGGCCCCGAGAGGCCAAAATCATTGATCCCCCATGAGTTTTCAATGATTTGGGGGTCCTCGACTTTTCGAGCCCGACGCTCCAAGACAGCCCAAGAGGCCCCCGGGACTGCCCCAAGGCGGCCCAGGAGGCCCACAGGAGGGTCCCAACACGGCCCAAGAGGACCCCAAGACGGCCCAAGAGCGCCCAAAGATAACCCCAGGGAGGGCCCAAGATGGGGGCTCCAAAGATGCCCCAAGCAGGCCCCAAGAAGCCTGCAAGCCGCAAGAGGCTCCGAAGACGCGCCGAAAGGCCCCAAAAGAGCCCCTAAGAGGCCTCAGAACGGCCCCCCTACAAACCCCCGAGTCCTCCCGCGACATCCCACCGAGAGCGCGTCTCTTTATTTTCGGCGATAGATGGCGTTATAGATGGGGGGCGGGGGAGGGGTATAACGTAACCTCCCCCCCCGCCGTGTGGCTCTGGCACCACGGGAGTCTGACACATGTATAGCTAAATGTGTATATATATATATATAAACATTTATATAGATATATACGACCACCCTTCGGCTGATAAGGAGGTTGTGTGGGGGGGAGAGGGGGGGAACCAACATTTGACTCAATCGATCTCACTATCGATCTAACGCAACGGGAAACCACGGGACACCACGGGACACTTGTCGACTTCGCTATCGATCTCACTATCGATCTAACTCAAAAGAACACCACGGGACGCCACGGGCCACCACGGGACACCTCTCGATCTCACTATCGGTCTCACTATCGATCTCACTATCGATCTCACTCAACGGGTCACATAGGACACCATAGGACACTAGAGAACACCGAGGGACACCACATCGATCTCACTATCGATCTCACTATCGATCTCACGATCGGTCTCACTCAACGGGACACCACGGGACACCACGGGACACCTGTCGATCTCACTATCGATCTGACTTTCTGGGAAACCACGGGACACCACGGATTACCTCGGGGCACCACATCGATCTCAGTATCGATCTCAATCTCGATCTCACCTAACGGGACACCACGGGACACCACGGGACACCTGTCGATCTCACTATCGATTTCACTATCGATCTCACTATCGATCTCGTTGGAACACCACGGGACACATTCCGCGCCGGCGGCACCCAGGAATGCCTAGGGATGACCACGCCCAAGTAGGAGCAGCATATAGGTGTCGATCTGCCTCACAACGCCTGTATACACCACGTTGCTCGTTTGCACCGCATCGCGCGTGTACACCACAGCGCCTGTGCACACCGCAACAGCCGTGTGCAACGCAGCGCCTGTGTACACCACAGTGCTTGCGTGCAGCACGGCGCCGGTGTACACCACAGAGTATGTGTACACCGCAGCAACCATGTGCAACACAGCGGATGCGTACACCGCAAAGCTTGCGTGCACCGCGCCGCCTGTGCACACCACAGTGCCTGCGTGCTCAGGACAGGTAGAATGAGCATGTGAGTGAGGATCACCACGCCAGGGAAGTGTTGATACTATAATGGAACGTTATTCCATCCTCCTTCCTCCTCCTTCTCCTCCTCATCCCTCACCCTTCCGCCCTGTCGTGCGGGTCGGCGCTACAGCTCACGTGCGCATTTCAGCGCGCACCGCAGAATGGTCTAGTGAATCAGTCCCCTTAGTTCTCGGATGGCCATTTCCGCTGGAGCCTCCTGGACGCATATGAGAGGAGTTGGGATGATGCGGGAGGAATCGTAGAGTCCAGCGGCGTTCCTTGTTTGCAAAAGGATTCCTTTCCACATCCTGTATAAAACAATTGCTTACAATGGAATCCACAGGCGCTCCGTTTGTCATACAGATTCCCTACCTAGGCTCTGCCTAGAAGGGTTCTTACTCTCTTTGCTTAAAGGGGCCGGGCGGTGCTACACGCCCCGGGCGGTTCCCCCAGACCCCGCCCCGCGGTTCCCCCAGTCCCCTGGGAGCTTTAGCCTTAGCTTTAGCTTTAGCTTAGCTTTAGCTTTAGCCTTAGCTTTAGCTTAGCTTTAGCTTAGCTTTAGCTTAGCTTCAGCTTAGTGTTAGCTTAGCTTTAGCTTAGCTTTAGCTTAGCTTTAGCTTAGCTTTCGCTTAGCTTCAGCTTAGCTTTACCTTAGTGTTAGCTTAGCTTTAGCTTAGCTTTAGCTTAGCTTTAGCTTAGGTTTAGCTTAGCTTTAGCTTAGCTTCAGCTTAGCTTTAGCTTAGCGTTAGCTTAGCCCTAGATTAGCTTTAGCTTAGCTTTCGCTTAGCTTTAGCTTAGCTTTAGCTTAGCATCAGCTTAGCTTCAGCTTAGCTTTAGCTTAGCTTTAGCTTTAGCTTAGCTTTAGCTTAGCTTTAGCTTAGCTTTAGCTTAGCTTCAGCTTAGCTTTATCTTAGATTTAGCTTAGTGTTAGCTTAGCCTTAGCTTAGCTTTAGCTTAGCTTTAGCTTAGCTTTAGCTTAGCTTTAACTTAGTGTTAGCTTAGCTTTAGCTTAGTGTTAGCTTAGCTTTAGCTTAGTGTTAGCTTAGGTTTAGCTTAGCTTTAGCTTAGCATTAGCTTAGCTTTCGCTTAGCTTTAGCTTAGCTTTAGCTTAGATTTAGCTTAGCTTTAGCTTAGCTTTATATTAGCTTTATCTTAGCTTTAGCTTAGCTTCAGCTTAGCTTTAGCTTAGCTTCAGCTTAGCTTTAGCTTAGCCCTAGCTTAGCTTTAGCTTAGCTTTCGCTTAGCTTCAGCTTAGCTTTAGCTTAGCTTTAGCTTAGATTTAGCTTAGCTTTAGCTTAGCTGTAGCTTAGCTTTAGCTTAGCTTTAGCTTTAGCTTAGCTTTAGCTTAGCTTTAGCTTAGCTTTAGCTGAGCTTCAGCTCAGCTTCAGCTTAGTGTTAGCTTTGCCTTAGCTTAGCTTTAGCTTAGCTTTAGCTTAGCTTTACTGTTACTACTAATGCTGCTTTCCTAGGGGCTCCAACTCCTAGGTAGGGTCGCACTGGGATAATTTCTTCTACAATTTTGCATGCAACAGCTGTGCTCTGTTGGGCACAGTTGCTGTGGTGCACACCGGCGCCGTGTAGTACACATGCGCTGTGGTGCACGCAAGCATTGTGGTGTACACTGGTGCTGTGTCGCGCACGGCTGATGTGGTGTACGCAAGCGCTGTGGTGTACACACAAGCGCTGTGGTGCCCGCGGGCACTGTGGCACACACTGGCGCGGTGTTGTTCTCGGCTGCTGTGGTGTACATAGGCTCTGTGGTGTACACAGGCGCTGTGGTGCATGCGTACACTGTGGTGTACACAGGCGCTGTGGTGCGGATCGCCACCTACATGCTGCTGCTACACGCCCTCCAGACGCCGCCGGCGCGCAACGTGACGTCCTCGGCCTCGCCCCCCCCTCTCCCAAATGACGGCCGTCATCGGCACGGAATGAAAAAACAGGCTCCAGCCGCGTCCGCGCGCACGACGAAGATGAGCGACGAGCGATGAGCGACGAGCACGACGACGACGAAGACGGCGACGACTGCGGACCAGACCCCTATGCACCTATGCGGATCCCGATGCGCACGGCGGCAGTGCCCAGAGCGCGCTTGGGGGAGGGGGGGTCGAGCGTTACGTCACAGGGGAGGGGGGGGGCCGGGGGCTATAATGCCCACGATGCCCAAAGCAATAAAGAAACACGCTCCGAACGTCCTAGAGGCCATTGACCCACAACCCAAGCACGGTGGCGGGCTGGGCCGAAGGTCATTACGCTATCATTGCTCTTGTTGTAACTTCATAGATCCGTACCCAAGTGGGAGGGGAGAGAGGAAGGAGGGATGGGGGAGAGGGGGGGGGCGGCAAGCTAGGTGCGCTCGCGTCATATCTGACATCCTACCCCTCCTTCCCATCCCTCACCACGGCGTAGATCCCATCTCTACTCGCACAGTCGGATGTCGAGCAGGGCAATGATCCCGAAAGGGTACGCGATGCATTGTAGAGCACGGCATGGCATGGCGTAGAAGAGCACCGCAAAGCGTAGTATCAACCTAGCATTGCATTGCATGCCGTGGCATGGCACGGGAAATGGCGCCAGCGCTGCAGCGGGAGCGCGATACGAAACGAGCGGAAACGCGGAAATGAGGCCAACGCTGCAGCGGGAGCGCGATTCGGAACGAGCGGAAGCACGGAAATGAGGCCAGCGCTGCAGCGGGAGCACGATTCGGAACGAGCGGTGGTGCCCGAAAATGAGGCCGGCGCCTCAACGAGAGCAGCATTCTGAAACAAAAAAATGCAGGCGAAAACCCAACTCCGGGGAAACGTGTGTAAAAAACAATACGTTTGGGGGGGGTCGAACACTGTCAAACCGTCATCAGGGGAAGAGGGAGAGTCGTATTCATATTGAGTAATTGTGGACGGATTAGTGCGGGGTCGACCCCTCTGGTGCCCGAGCCCCTCCTTCCAGCCGAAGCTCCGTGGCCTCGACGGCCGCACCTCCTCCTCGCCCGGTGCCAGCTGCCCGAACCGCTGCGCGTATCGCCGCACGGCCTCGGGGCGCCAGGAGGCCTCCTCCTCCTCCTCCTCCTCCTCCTCCTCCTCCTTTTCCGCCTCCTCCTCCTCTTCCCCTCCCCTCCTCCTCCTCCGCCTCCTCGAGGCGGCCACGATGGATAATAGCTTCGATGGTATCGACTTCTCGTTGGTGGGAGCCTCCTCCTCCTGGATGGAAGACGCCTGTTTTTCCTCTTCCTTCCCCCTCCCCCCTTCCCCCATTCCGTCTTTTCCTCTTTCCCCTTCCCCCTTCCTCGTCCTCCTCCTCCCCCTCGTCCTCCTCCTCCTCCACCTCCTCCTCCTCCTCCTCCTCCTCCTCCTCCTCCTCCTCCTTTTCCTCCTCCTCCTCCTCTCATTCCTCTTCCTCTTCCTTATCCTCCTCCTCCTCCTCCTCGTGGGCTCGTGGGACCGAAGCGCACCGAAAACGACTATACAGCGCTAGCGGAACGCGCCCAGGCAATAGAGTCACGTACAACATCGCCCTCTAGATCGGCCCACGTGCTAGTGCAAGCGAGCGTCATAAGAAAAGGAGCGGCGTCTTGAACGCAACGGGCCTCAGTCCTGTCGTTGCTTCGCTTCGGATACAATCAGGAAAGAAGTGCTGTGGAACTCAGGATGCTATCTAACCGTTTTCGCTTTGGTCTGCTCTGGCGCCCGTGGGAAATCAACTTCGGATGCTATTACGGGTTCCGCGCCAGTACCTTGCGCATCCAGTCGCAAGAAAACGTTTGTGCCCCACGTGCTGGAACCATTTCAATTTCTGGTGCCGTTGTTGTTGGATCCAGTCGTCTATCCCAAGGCTGTCCATATGTTTTTTCTTTTCAACTTCGCGCATACGAGTTAACACATTTTACCCCAAATCACAAGTTGGTTGTGTCACCCGCCGCTTCAACCTCATGTCGTTGATGCTGCGCGTTCCCTTCTGCAGATGCACTTGCCACGTCCGACCCGCTGTCTGTGCGCACGCTGTCCGCGCGATCTCGCGGTCCAGACGGTTCTTCTCGCCGCCCCAAAACGCGCAGGGGGGAAGTGGGCAATCATTCGTGGCATCTGGCGTTGCGTTCGTTTTACTCAATTCTGCAATTACTGCGTCATTGTCCACACTTCACATACGCACAGAATTGTTGGCATTGCGACTCCACTAAACAAGCGTGGCCGATCATGTAAACTGTTGGCATTGCGGCTCCACTAAACAAGCGTAGCCGGCCATGTAAATATTATCGTTGTCCAATGGGTTCTTGTCTGGAGATGAAATTTGCGCCTCGCGCAGGCAATCCGGTTTTCGATATTGACCTCGTTCGCCTCGTAAAGCGACAACTTGCGACCCCAAGTATTTGGCGCGCGCCGCGCGTCGAGAAACTCAATCGCCATTCCGTCGATGGAAACTACTTTTGGTACCCGCGTCCTCTGGTAGAGCCAAAAAGCATTGCGTAGGATCTTCGTCTTGTCGGGGTGTGACTGGAGCCCCATAGCAGCGGCCTCGGTGCTGAGATTTGCAATCATCCTTGACACCTGATGTGATGAAGAGGCGACAAAGAGAATCTCACCAGCAAAACGTGAATTCGACAACAAAATCTTGTCCGCCACTTGCACCCCAATTCCAATATTTGCCATTCCCCCACTTTGCCCGCATATCTCTGATGAGGGATCAGGTACTCTGACGCGCTGTTGAAAAGCAGGGAACTGAGCGGATATCCTTGCTTTGTGCCACGTTGTATACAGAAAGGCTTACTCAATTGATCGGTGCGAACAGAGACCGTCTGGTTCTGGTACTTTTCCTTCCAAAGATTGATGTAGCAAAGGTCGGCACCTTGGCTTGCAAGTGCATCCCATATCCCCCTATGTGCTACGCTACCCAAGAACGTTTTGAAACCAGCCGCGGCTATCCACAACAGGGTCTGCAACTCCTCCGCCGTCTCCTGCAATATACCGATGGTGAACGAGTGGTCGGTTGTAGTTTTGCCCAGTCTGAAACCAACTTGGTCTGGAATCTGGTCGCTTTCGGGAACTGGGAACAGCCGATTGCAAAGTAGCCAGGACAATAATGTGCACAGCAGTGGTATGATGGATATAGGCCCGTAGTTTTCCAGCAACCTCATATCTCCACGTGTGTATAATACCTTTACCACCGTCGTTTTCCAAGCAGCCGGGACTGGCGTATGCCAACTGGTGATGTCGTTGAGCACAACAGCGAAATACCATGTAGACGTTTAGCGCCGTGTTTGAGCACATCCGCTGCGATGCCCGATGTGTCTATGGACCTTCCTGTTTTCAACTGCCGGAGCGTTGTTCGCAGTTACTCCATCGGAAATTATGATATGCGTGTCCTGGATGCGTCTGCTCGTGTGCTTCGCTGATTGCTGCCGCTTTCATGTTGAAGATCGCGATAGAGCTGGCCGTAAAACTCTGCGAATGTATCTGCGATGTTTTGCCTATCGTGCTGCGTGCCACCCTCTGCGTCCAGCATGTCTAAGATGAGCACGTTCTTGCGCTGCGACCTGATGCCAACTATTTATCGTAAGTCCTGGCATTGCGATGAAATGTGGCTGACTTCAAAGCTCCTTGTACGTCTTTTTTCTGTTCGGACTGTAATCCTTACCGCTTGCTGAATAACCACCTCGTGGCTGTATCCTCTGGTGTCGTATTCAGTCGCTGCTCCAATAAGGTCGACACAGACGATCTCAGAGTCGTGTGGCCCCTTTGTTTTGGCATCGCATTTGCAACCATTGGTTCACAAATGAATGTCTCAATCTTCTCGTAATCCGGCCGCCCTCCATCTGTGAAGCATGAGCCCATATGCTGTGCAACTTGTGGTTGGTGAGTACATGTATTGTCAGGTGGTCATTTCGATGGTCGCGCTTGCAAGTTCCTGCTCTGTTTTCGGCCGTCCCCCAGGCCCCCTGGGGAATCGAACTTCGCCTTGTGAGTGCGCGGTGGTCGGAACCAAGATCAAACATCGCCGTCGTACCGCAATCTTAGATTGTTTTCCAAAACTGTTTGTTATCCAGAAATAATCAAGCTGCACATGCGATTTGTCGGGCCTCGTATGTGTCCAGCGGGTATTCAAATGTTTCTTGAAAAACGTGTTTGGGATCCGGAGTCGCCGTGCCTCTGCCCAGTTCTTTAACCACTGTCTCCGCGCATTTCCTGTTGCATAACCACGTTGGCCACAACTATATGTTGCAGACTGGACCTCTCCGACTTTTGCGTTCATGTCTGCACCAACAACAATACACCGTTTCAAAGCGTCAGCTTCCGAGTAGTTTGGCGTACTTGTCGGCGTACCCACCGTGCGGAAAATAGGCACTGACCACTCGTACTGGCTGCCTGCTGGGAATAGAAACATCAACAAAAGCAATTATTTCACATATGGACTGTAACGGCCGAAGATGATTATTCCATCGCTTGTGTATCAAAATTCTCACTCCACGTGTTGCTTTCGTATTCCCAGGTGATAAGAACAAGAAGATGTAGGATCCTGGAGCCCAAACATCGATACACGAATCGTAAATGCTGAAACCGGACATGTCCGATGACAAACCCAAGCTCCCGCCGCAAGAGCCAACCGTGATTGCCGACGGGATGAAAGCCGGATTGTAGTTGCACGCGTCTAAGTTCTGGTTCCTTGCAGCCACCACCACGGTCACGCCATCGGCTACCAGCGAATCGACCGAGGCGTTCTCCGCGAGGCTGTTGACAGGACCCCCGATGCTCACGCTGAGCACTGCTGGTCTTGGGCCAGAGGACAGAACCCACTGCTCGGCCAGAACGGACCATGAGTCATAGCCGGATCCAGCGACATCGAGAACCTTTGAAGGCGCCATCTGCGACGCCGTATGTCGTGGTCCCCACGACGCCCGCGCAGTGGGTGCCGTGGCCATTCTTGTCTGCGGCACACGTTGTGCTGCCCGTTGTGCACACCGCCAGACTCCCCGTGGTCGCCACGTCCAACCCTGCGAATGCGCGGCCACCGGAACTGACGTGGGTTGTGCGAATGCCAGTGTCAAGCACGTATACATTCACCCCAACGCCCCGCCCCCGCACCATATCCGCGTAGATGGACTGGGTGCCCCACGGGTAGGTCCGCCGTTCCGTCGGACCGTCGTATGAAGCGATGTGCTCCGTGATCTTTCTGGAGTGCGAGTCCAGCTCAGCAAATTTGACACTCCCCTGGTACTTATCCAACAATACCCTGAGTTCATCTTCCGTCAAATCCCCCTCTACGACAAGGTCTGGATGGGTGTGCTGCGCCGTCGGATTGAGTTCCTGCTGAACTCGCTGCTGTAATTCGTCCGTGGCACTGGTTGCAAGCACGAGCTTCCACTTCTCTTCTCCAGGTGGTGGACCGGCCGAGTGGGTGCAGACAGGCACGGAACCATGCGTGAAGAACGCCCTCCCGAACTCGTCCCGCGACGTTGTGGGGGCAGTCCTTTGCCTCGACTCGGGGTCGCAAGCAGAGGCCAGGCCAGGCCGGAGGCGCCTCGGGAGCCGACAAGGCTGGCATTCAGAAGGAGGCGTGCCATCTTTGGTACGAGAGAGCCGCAAAGTAATGTGAACGAACACGCGAAGCAAGGAAGGTGGGCGCGCAAAGGCAAAAGTCGCCCGGTCCACAGACTTACTTGAGCCAAAATGGCTGGCCTCTTGGGGGCTTTCTGGGGGCTTCCTCGGACCTCCTAGGGGCGGCTTGGGGCCGAAGGCTTGACACATCTGTTCGGGCACCGTTCGTGACGGTCGGGCTGATCTGCGTCCCGACGCACCCGCGTCGCCCGAATTGGCCAGCCCATGGGGGGAATGAGAAGGGGCGGGACTTTTCAGAAGGCTCGCAAGTCCCCTGGCCTTGTGACAAGTTTTCTGAGCCGTTCCCGAACACACAAGAAACTTCTCAAAGGGCGCGGGAGTTTCTGAGGAGCCCCGCCGCTTTCTGAACAAAAGTTGTTTTTTTCATGTTTCCCCTTTGTTCGCCACCGAGCCAACCAACCTCAAACTTCAATCCAGAAAACCTGGCACCTGCCCCTCGTCTTCCGCCCAGCTCGGCGACTCCGGAAAGCGTGGGTTGCAACAGGGGGCGGTTTGCAAACGGCACCCTAGGGGGGCGGGATTGGGACCTCGATTGAGTTTCCCGCAGCGCCCCGAAGACGCCCGACGAGGACAGCGTCGTGCCCCCCCAGGCGACGAGGTTTTGAATGGGGACGAGGGGCGGAGAAGGCGCAGGAGCGGAGGGAGGAAGAGCCTCAAGCGAAAACTGCCCCCGACGGCGCCGATCGCAGACCGCACCCCGCGGAACCCACCCTTTGCAAGTCGCCGTACAACGTTGCCCCCCAGGTGTCGGCGGTGGACAAACCTCCCTTTAGTAGCCCTGTAATAGACCTCCCCTTAGTGAAAACGGCCTGGGACCGAAACCGACGGACCTGGACCCGCAAAAATGAACGCCGCGACGCCCTCTGGCGAACCGAAAACGGCCAATTCCTTAATCGACGTGTCAGGGTAGGAGGTCTGTCCAACCCCGCAGGTGGTCGGGCAGGCGTGCCCCGCCCCGGGGGGCCCCACCCGCGGGCTCCTCCACAGCCCCCTCGGGCTCTGCCACGCCCGCGTCGGGCGCAGCCACGTCGGCCTCCTGGCGCGCGACGAGGAGGTCCTGCGGTCCGACGCGCTCGCGGCGGCGGCTTCCCCGAGGAAGGGGGTCCTCGTCTCCTGCTTGCATTTGGAACCCCCCTCCTCCTCCTCCTCCTCCTGTTCCTCCTCTTCCCGGTCCCGAACCCGCGGCCCTCCCCCTCCCCTGCGTCTCCCCCTCGCCACCTCCTCCGCCGCCCCTTCCTCCTCCTCGCAACACCCTTGCGCCCAAGTCCTTCTCCCTCGTTTCCGCGGGCCGAAAGCGGACCGTTCGCCTGAGAGTCTTCTTCCTCCTGCTGCTGCCCCGTCTCTACTCCTCGCCCCCTTTTCGAAACCTCGTCGCACCACCAGATGTCTCGGCAAGGTGGGTGGGTTTCTTTGTTAGAAGTTGACCGAACCCGCCATCCCCCAGCAACCCGCTGACAGTGCCTCGCCACGCCGTCGCCAGCGCTGGCAAGGACGAGGGAAGAGGGAGGAACTGGAAAACCATGCCGACGGGCACTGCGACAGCCTACCGCCCCAGCTGCCTTGGCGACTTCAGCGCGCGCCGCAGCTCCTCGGCCTCGGCGAGGGCGCACCGCGCGCGCCGCCTCCGTGCGGCGTCGGCTAGCGCCGCGCGGAGGTCCATCTGCTCCTACTCCGCCTCCGACCTCTCGGACGCCAGCCCCGCGCTGCTCGCTGCCAGTGGTCGCCGAAGCCAGGGCCACCTTCGCGGCCTCAAGCTCACATTCGAGCCATGCGGCCATGCCGTTCTACTCGGAGGCCGTCGCCGCGTTGCTTTCCCGCTTGGCGTGCAACGTCCCGACCTACTGCTGCGACGGCTCCACTTCGGATGCCGCGACGGCTCTGGCTGCAGTCTCTGCCGCCAGCTCCGCCTTCAGCTCCGAGATCGCCTTGCGCATAATCTCCTCGATGACCTCCTCGCTATGCTGGAACATGCCACCAATGATGTCCTTGCGCTCGGACTTCTTGCCCTCCGCGTCCATCGCCTGCGGCTACACGTTCTTGTCCTCGAGCTCGGGGCCGAAGGACTTCACGGAGAGCCGATCGGTATCGACCTTGGCCTGCATCAGCCCTTCGGTCTGCTTCACCTTCTCGACGGCCTGCTTCGAAATCGATGGCACGTTCTCATTGGAGGCGGACTCCATGAGCACGCCTCGGATATGATGCACCAGCTGCACTTACAGGTGCCCCGCCGCATTGCGGAGCTTGCTCCTCTTGCCCAGCTGAGAGGCGGCAACCTGGGCTCCACGCTCGCGCAAGGCCGCCTTCGCCGCAGCTGCGCCAACCTCATGGGGGAGGAGCTCCAAGTTGACGAGGATCGACTCGATGGGGGCCTGAACGGCGCTGCCTCCCACAACCTCCAGCTCAGGAGCAACGCCTCCAGCACCAGGCAGCAAGCGCGTCTGGCCGTGAGGCCGCCCGCGCAGCTGGCCCCGGCGCCGCCGCCGCTCGTGAGAACGGCCAGTACCGCGGCAACGCCTCCGCAGGCCGCTTGCGCTGCCTTTGGGAGGCCGTCCGTTACTGCGCCTGCGATGACACTCGCGCGCCGCGCGAGAGCTGCGGCCCACTCCAGCCCATTGGCTTGGATCAAAATGGCTACGGTAAAGGGCGGGCTGGACATTGGCGTCAGACGCTCCTGAACTACAAGCTCGAAGCTAGACAGTTCAGCACAACTACGCGGATCATCAAACATGTGGTGCTCTCAAGCAAACGACGCGCACATCGGTCCTAGCCTTGCACACCAGCTACATGGGCAGGGGCGATGTGAAATTCAAATTGCGGTTGCCCCCTCAACACTTTGACCCGCACGCGCTCGTCCTAAGATTCGTCAACAAATCATCGGATGGCGGACGTACCCTTCTCGAAATGTGTTTTCGCCCGTGACACGGAAAGTAAAGGCGTGGAACAGCATATGTATGTAGGGCAGCTCCGATTAAACATAGACCCTCTTGACACTGTTTTAGATGCTGCGCAACAGTTGAAAGTATGTAGGAAGTGTCCTTTCAATTGGGACTCTCGCCTGACACTTATCAGCGACAAATATCGAAGGCAACTCCGTTCTAACTCGGTTTCACACGTGAATGGCAGGCTAACAGTAGCAGTTCTGGTAGTGAAACAAAGTACTTGTAAGGACGTGCTAGAAGGGGACTCGGGATGGAAGATGCACTGCAACATCGTCAATGCATCCAAGGGTCATTCTGGCCCCCCGAGCCATACCGCCATCTTGGAAGCACAGCTGCACCGCCCCCCTTCTGCCTTGGTTCGCAGGTCGCCACTGCGGAACAGCGGGGTAACTGGAACAGCAGCAGTAGCAGCAGCAGCGGTGGCAAGAGGTCCCAACCGTCCCGACTTGGTCTCAGAAGCTGTCTCAGCGCTCGGACCAGGAGAGCAGGGGGAGGAGGAAGAGGAGGAGGAGGAGGAGCAGCAGGAGCAGGAGAAGCAGGAGGAGGAGGAGGCGGAGGAGCAGGAGGAGGAGGAGGAGGATGATGATGAGGAGGAGGAGGAGGAGGATGAGGAGGAGGAGGAGGAGGAGGGGGAACGGCAAGGGAGCAGACGCTGCCTCAGAACTCCCGCCCTTCGCGCGGGCCCCCGCCCGTCGTCGTCTCCGCCTGGCCCCCACGGCGGCACACTGCAGCCGGACGCCCCAGGGACCTGGATCGGCGGCGGCCGCAGGGCGTCGGCGCGGATGGGGGGGGGGGGGGGCGGCCTCCCGAGAATTGGCGGCGCGCAGCGGGGGGGGGGGCCGGGGGAGGAGGGGGGGGGGCGGCTCCTGAGAAGCCTTCCCCCCCGCCCCCTGCCCCCCTCTGCGCGCGGCCGAGAGAAGACGAGGAGGGGTGGGGGTTCTTGGAAGGCAGGGGCCTTCGAAGGGCATGGCGGCCTCCACGAAGGGCCTGCGTGGAAGCCCCTCCTCCTCCTCCTCCTCCTCCTCCGCCTCCTCCCCCTTCCTCCCCCTCCTGGGTCCTCCTAGGAAGGCCCCTGCCTTCAGAGGACCCCTCACGCCTTCTCAGAAGGCCGCACCCCTCGGGCCGCACCTGCGCGGGCGCTGCCAGCTGGGTCTCTGTCAGCAAAACCGGCCGCCTCTCTGCCGCGCGGGCGAGCGGCGTCCTTGCCCTGGAACTTCACGCTCACCCAGCCGGTCGCCGGCCCGGCCCTTGCGAGTGCATCGGCGGCTGGCGACGTGGCAGCGACAGGCGACTCGACTCGACTCGCGCCCTGCACAGTCAGACTGGCTCCAATCAGGAGAGGGCGGGGTACAACGCACAGGCAGGCGGACCCGCTTACGGCAGTGAGGAAAGATGTAGCGAAGAGCTCAGCGTTCAATGCGTGGTGAAACGATCTTGAGGAGGAGAAGTTGGATGTCCCAAAACAGTACGGCGGCACACTGTGCGGTAACCATGGGAACCCCAAAGATGTCACTGCATGGTTCTGGGGCCTCGGAAGCTCCAGTCGCTGCGACGTCTGGATGAACGTGCGGTCACCCCGAATCCCGACTGACTCACCGCACGGTGTGGTCACCGCACCGTTTCGGGGCCCCCGAAGGAGGGAAAAGGCCATGGGGGAACCGGGGCGAGGGAGAACGACGGGGGACAAGCTTTTCGGAGGCGCCTCTTATCACGTCTGGCATCCTGCTGCTCCCACCCTGCGCACTCCCTGCCTATGCGCGGAGCCTGGGTGCGCAATCGACCCGGATCGCGATCCCGCTGACTGCAGTGCCTGAATTGGCTGGGGGAGGGGATGAGACCAGCAGACCAGTCGGCCGACGCCCGGGTGTGACGAGAGAGGGCACGCGCGGCCGGAAAGCGCCATGCACGAAGCCGGTGCAGTCCAGGCCCCCGGAGCTCGCGGGAGCCACATGCGTGGGCGGCGAGCCCGGGGGGAAACGGAGCGGAGGCGGGCCTTCGGGCTCCGAGGGCCTCCCGCCTGCCGAGGAGCTGCCTGGGCCTGCCCTGGGCTCGCGGAGAGCTTGTTCTGAAGGGCGGAGGGCCTCTGAGAGGACCCGCCGCCGTCTGAGAAGGCCTCCTCCTTCTCACTTCCCCCCCCCCCCCTCCGCTCGCGGCCGAACGTACCCCTCGCAAGAGGGCCCAAGAGGGCCCCCTCGCGCGAGCAGGTGGCGGAAGCGGAAGCGGGGGCAGGACTCCGGGGGTGCGCGGGCCCCGCCGAGTTGCCCAGAGGATGCTCAGCCTCGAAGGAGGGGGAGCAGGAGGGGGAGGGGGATAATGATACCAGGAAGCTGGAGACACACATAGCAGGACCCACAAGTGGAACATTTGGAGGCCATGCGCCGGGTACACATGCGGACAGCCAGCGTGCCTGGCCACAGAAGGGCTGGGCGGTGGAAAGACATGTGGCCACACGTGTACCCACCTCTCGTCCAGGCCAGCCGCGCCATGTGTATACAGTTTCCTGGTAGTAATGCGGCATAGAGGCGCGCAGTGTAGTGCGAAGAGACAAGCGTGCGGCAGAGGGAGGGGGAGCGAAGGGTGAGGCACCAGCAGGGCCAGCCTCGTGGAAGCGACTGGATGCATGCTGGGCCAGAGCGAGTGGGGCACATGTCTCAGCGTCTCTCAGAATCTGAACCGCCACGGCGCAAATTGGCATGCGCATCCACTTCGCGCTACGTGCATTCGATGCTAACTGTAAGCCACGTGTTCGTGCTGTGTTGTTCGACACGTGCGCAAAGAAAATGACTTGTGGCGCCAGTGTCGCGGGAGCTTCTTTTCCGACGCCTGACATCACGTACTACGACAGGCCGTTCAATTTCGATCTACATTGAAATCAACCAAATGCGCTTGGCAGAATTGGACGGGTAAATACATTCAATAAGATTCACCAAACAGTGTTTGTACGGGTTCTTCCTTATGTTCCAAAAAACTGGGCCGGTGCGGCGGTCTGGCGGGTATGTGGTCGCCGTCGCCGCCCCGTCGCCGCCCCGTCGCCGCCCGTTGTCTGGGCCGGTGTGGTGGTCTGGCGGCCATGTTGTCGCCGTCGGCTCCGTCGCCGCCTCGCCGCCGCCCGTCATCTGGGCTGTGGCGGCCTGGCGGTGATGTTGCCGCCGTCGACGCCCCGTTTTTGCCTCGTCGCCGCCAATCATCTGGGCTGTGGCGGCCTGGCGGTTATGTTGCCGTCGTCGACGCCCCGTCTCCGCCTCGTCGCCGCCCGCCGTCTGGGCCACTGTGACAGTCTGGTGGCCATGTTGCCGCCGTCGCCGCCCTGTCGCCGCCCCTTCGCCGCCCCTCCGCTGGGCATCACATATATGGCTCTTTATAGATCGCGCAACATATGTTGCACCACGTCGGCTGCAAACCATATAATGCATAACACAAACTGCTCCGCATAGATTACACAACCTAGACGACTCCACAAATACTGCGCCGCAACATAACTTGCGCAACACAGATTGCACCACACTGTGTTTCTGTTGATGACATGTTGGGGTCCCTCCTCCCAGAATTACCTGTACACCCCTTCGTGTTGCAATTTGCATACGATGTTGCCCCATCGTCAAAGCTAAAAACAAATTCGCGCCATCCCAACCAGGCCAGCATCGCCCCCCGAATGCCGTAGAAACTACTATGCGCGAGCAGTCGTTCATCTGGAAAAAATTGTGCCGGCGTTATAGATTGTGGGGAAACCACAGGCTGTTCAAACTGTTCACAACACGTGCCACCAAAAGAGTCTCTCACGCGCGCGCCTGTCGAAATCGTTCGAACGCCTTTTGCGCGCCTGCTGTCGCAAAACCCCC